CCTAGGTTTGATTTCACTTTCAGACCTTGAGAGTTTGCATGTTCTCCCCATGTATGCATAGGTTTCACATCTACAATATTTCAGGGTAAAGAGTGTGTATTTGGGCATCCAACAACCGATTGAAGCTCAACGTTACTTTCTAGTGTATTTACACTACTGTCCATCCATCCATCCATTTTTTTCCCCCGGGGGGGGGGGGGGGGGGTCGTGGCAGTCAGAGCTGCACCCAGTCCACAGACTGGTGGGCTCGAACCCACGACCTTCAGACCCAAATGCCAATGCTCGACCAACTGAGCCACTGTCGCCCAGTTACTTCCACCAGTATTTACACTACTGCTGTTCATGAATACACTGTCCCATTCAAATTAAGATAAATAAACAAAATACATGAGCAGTTTAATTTATGTCACATTATATTACACTGGATATGTAGAAATTTTTGTTTTTGAATTTGGTTAAAAATGTGTATTTCTAATAGTATACAGCTAGCCTAAAATGCACTGTAGCTGTGCTCAGTCTTTGTTTACCACAGCACACAAAGCATACAACACCGAGCTAACAGGTGTGCATCAAGTCATAATGCTTATGATAAAGATGACCACACCCATTACACAATATAGGATCCTACAGCTTGATTAAAAACAACTGACTCCCCACCATCACTAATATGTATATCTATACATAAATCACATTTGCAAGTTTTCACCTCTTAAATTCCTTCAAAGCTTCATGATCCACTTCAATTTAACAACCAGATTGCGGAAGCATTGCAATCTGCCTGAACAGAACGGGTCTGTCGTTCACTGCTGCACTTCCTTGTTTGTTCAATTTTCAACTTGGCGGGATGAGAGTCTCTCACCGCTGCTGTTTTTTTGCCCCCCTGTGTGTTGAGCCCATCACAATTCATAACTGCATGTATATTCGGGAAAACAAGCTAACCTTTGGAACAAACTGGCAGCTACAGGAGTGGATTTCTTGATTGGGGGGAGCAACTAACTACTAAACAAATACATCTTGGTGAAGCCATACTTTTTGGCCAGTCAAACCATTTTGCAAACCATGTTCAATTAAGATAAACTCTATTGTCCCCGAAAAGGAACTCTGTCCCCTTCCCATCATTTAATGTGACTCAGGCCTCTGTCAGTAGCATTGTTCACCATAGTTCAGTGACCGGGGACCCATCTCCAGATTATATTTTTTTATAGTAGGCGAAACCAGTGAACCCAAAGGAAACCTAAGCGGCATGGGGAGAACTACTCTACTCACAAAGGCCCTGTTCCCTGAGAAGCAAAATGGTGATGATTCATATTTGCAATTGTACAAAATATATATTGATTTTTTACCCTCTTTGTGATTGTGGGTAATGGTTAAGGGCCTATGCTACACATCTCCAAAAACTACAATACATGCCGCCCGCCTGCTCACCCACACTCGCTCCGGAGACCACATCACCCCCGTCCTCAAACATTCTGCTGGCTCCCTGTTCCATACCGCATCTAATACATGCTCCTCCATGCTCCTCACCTAAAATTTCCTCCATAACCTGCCCCCTTCTTACCTCACCGACCTCCTCCATCATCAGCGCCTGATCCATAGACTCCATCCTCCTCACTAAACACCTCAAGACTAAATACCGAACCTTCGCCGAGCTCACTCCCGCAACCCATCAGAAACTCTGACTCACTACAGAACTGTAAATCACTTCTGTTTCAGCTTGCATTTCCTTAATTTTTTTCTTCAATGTTTATTTTTTATGTCTTTTGTAAAGGGTCTTTGAATGTCCAGAAAGCACTATATAAGTTAGATGTGTTATTATTATGCTGACAATTTTGCCCCAGACATACAGTATTTTGTGAGTGTAGTGGAGAATATGGTCTAGTATTTTCAGGCTTGTGTGTGAGCCTGTGACCATGACATTTAATCCTTACTTATTCCAGCGCATCAGAGTTACGGATGGAATGTTAATACAAAACAAGAAACAGGAAGCATACCAAAAACAACAATAGTTTATTTGAACCATATTTGTGTATGAACTACAAACTCTGGTCGCTATTATCGATCTCTGTATCTTTTAAAGGTCATCAAAGAATGCGTACATGAAAATCAATTTTATTCTTTTACAGTGTGTTGTCACTTGTTCAACAGATTGTTGGCACATGTAAAATGAAACTTCCCCATAAAAGTTGCTTTGTTTATTTTAAAAATGATTTTTTTTTGTAATTTATATGCTTATATTTATTTCTTTTTATACAAATCTATCACTAGAACAGCATTCCCTCGCGGAAAAAAAATGGAAATAATAATGTGTGGGGAAAAAATATAGATTCAAAATATTTAGATATCTTACATACAGCAGACAGCTTGACTAAAATGCAACAAGATTACTATTGACATTTTCTGACAGTTTACCTCCAAAGAAAAAGGCAGAAGGGGAGAAAAGGCGGAGACGTTCCCATGTTGAGAAGTATGAAAACCAAACACACACACATGACTGCAGCCTTCCAACATTTTCAAATGTGCCAAACTCCACAAAACTACAACAATGAATAAAAGTTGTCCTTAAGATGGAAAATGACTTATGCAAATAATTCTGACACAAAAAGAAAAAAGAAAAAAACCTTTTTTTTAAAGATAAAGACATCACCTTTTTTAACGTATAAACCTGTATAGGAAATGCTGATTGGACGATGTTGGGACCAATTAGTTGTTAATCATTTCTACATTCTTAAGATTTGTCCAGATCTTACTTTATTTTGTACCATTGCAAGATTGCCAAACACAAAACCACAAGGGGGCAATATTTTTTCTTAGGCTTTCTGTAACTCATTTGACCATCTTTATTTGTAATTATTTATTTTACACATCTGAAATGAATGGTGCATGATGTAATACAATCCAAATTGCTCACACAACAGTTCTATTAGTTTTCTCATGTCTGTATATTTGCCTTCAGTCAGTCCCCAGCCCAAATCATCAGACAGTGACTCACTGAGCTACAGTTTTTGAAAAAGAAGGAAGACTGTTTTAGTTGGAATTTTACAACTTATATTTCCTTTTGTTATTACTTTAACAAGACTCTCTGTTAGTACAACAAAAATGTATTATTTTTTTGGCAAAAAAGTTAGTTAACCCACCTTTGATATAACAAACAAGCAGTTGTTTACAAGGATTGTATTTGATTTTTTCAAATGTATTAATAATTAGATGATCTTTGACAAAGATAACATCTTTCTTAGACATTCTATTTCTCTATGTGTGTTTTTTCTTAACAGTGTTCACTGCTTGAGTAGAAAAGCATAACTTTGACACATACTTCCCCGCTTCTTTAAATCTAAAAATAGACATAGATTGTGAAAAATGCTGCCTAACCCGTGTATTTACAGGGCCATGGCACCATTTGTGCACAGCGGGGGATTCAAAACACTTTGCAGAATATGGGTCGCCTGCAGCGCCGTGTCCATTCAAAGCCTATGGGCACATCAATTAAAATGGAAATGATGTTGTTGCTAAGAGAGTTGGAGAGAAGGCAGGTGCAACCCTAACATCTGCTCTGTGCCCGATTCCTACTCGCTCACCCCTAGAAAAAATGGGTCTGCGGCCATAAGCTGTACTGAGCTGCAGGCCAACTGCTGTGGTTGGCAGCACGTTTGGCCGTGTGGAAAAGTGGCAACGAGATGACAGGCGGCTCAGACGTCTGTATAAAAGGTTTAGGGTTTTTCTTCAGCTCATGAGTTTGCTCTACGAGAGATGAGGCAATGCACTGCCCAGCGTGGAAATGGAGGTTTCAAAGCAATTACCTTCAGATGCAATGGTACAAAGTAAAGGAGGTGAGGGGACTCCGTTAGCTGCTGGCCTAACATTGGGAATATCCGAGCGGCTCCAATGTGTTAGAAATATTCTAAAGTTACAAAAATAAATATGCACCTTTCCCTTATGACTCATAATACCTCTGTTGATTATAAACTTTCATGTATTACTTATAAACTTTTTTTTTACTGTGAAGATAGGGCGATAAGCAACACTGTGTAACTTCAACAAACGTTATTTTTGAAACTCTTAAATCTACTAGTTCCCAGATATTTTGAATTGACGTCATGGATACTGTATAGTTCTTGCATTGTTTTTTTTCATTGGCTGTAAAGACATGATTCCATCTCATTGATGTTCAAGTCACATAGTGTTGCTTTACAGATTACGCCTACACACACTTCCTAAATAAAAGCAATCCAAGAGGACATCAAATATGGTTTATATACATTTGCAACACAAAGACAGATGTAACAGTTTATCATGGCTAATAAGTATAATCTAATCAAACTAAAACACCATGTAACTTGCCACCTTTGATTGTACAAATATCATGACATACAGTATTACATTCAGGGCTCTTTATGAACTCAACAGTCTTGCCACTCACTGTAAAAATAATGAATGGTTGTTTCATTCATCTCAGTTGTACAGATGGTCACAAAAGATTTCATCACTTAACCCACAGCTGGAGAAAACCACTAATGCGCTCTACTCCTTTGATACATGGGGGGAAATTAGGTTACTATCTTGTCTGATTTGAAGTCTGAGGGTTATTAATAAAAGAAAGACGAATGCTTGGGGTTTTTTTTTTCCATCAACAGATGTCTTGAGGAGTTTGAACACATAACACAGACCAATTCCATCAGAATGAGCGAAAATGGAATGAAAACACATAAAGTAAGTGCTGGAAAAATAATTGCAGAATAGAGTTTTTTCTTGATTTAGTCACAATAGTTTTTTTTTTTTCCTTAAATAAATAACTTCTGTTTTTGTAAAGACACTTTGAAACAGTAGACATACCCTAGTTCCCAAAGTTATTGGATAATCATCACCAACTAATAATTTCCAAAAATGGAGTCCCTCATTTGAAGTCCCACTGAGTAATATCTTTTTGCATTGTCTCAGTGTTATCTTCATGAGTTAGCAGTGACAAAGTCTTGAAAAAAACCAAAACAAAAAAACAATAAGTTTTAGATCTGGGTCTCTTGAACATTGTCTTTTGAACTGGCTCGGATTAGCAAAGGTTCGTGCGCAGAGCTGTGTATAGAATTGAGGGTGGCGTGGTTGTATGCAGTCTTGTATGTGTTGTAATGGTTTAGGTGCTCATGTTCCAGAGGCGGCAATGTCAGGTGACCCTCCATACCGGGGCCTCCTGTTACGCAGTCCTCGTCAACGTTTATGATCTCAATGGTTCGCGTCGGGGCGTGGTGATTCTGGTGGTGGTGCTGCTTCCTCATTTTGTAGAAAATGATTAGCATGACGGCTGCCATAAGCGTAATAGCCACGAAACACCCGATGATGATCTTGGTTGTCTTCATGACCTCGTCCAGTCCGTTCAGGGCACCGTCAATATCTGTGACAGGGATAGTGTAGGTTCTCTCAGTAACGCGTGTTGACATGGGTGTCCGGACCGTTGTGGTGGTGGTTGAAGTCGGGGACACGGTTTCCCACATACCAGCAGATGCAGTAGGGCCAACTCTTTGATGCACGGTTGTAGTGACACCTTCTTGATGAGGAGATTCGATGGTTTCCACTGTCACTGTGGTGAAATAGCTGAAGCTACTGTTCTCCGTCGAAGATACATTAAGTGTTGCAGATGCTGTTGTGTTGCCAGCCGAATTGCTCACCATACAAGTATATGTTCCAGTGTCCTGCGTGGTGACATTGGTAAAGTTCAGTGTTCCATCATTTAGAACTGATATTCTGATTTTGTACGCTCCATGTGTCATGATTGAACCATTTGGTGTAATCCAACTGACAGAGGTCAACGAACTGGCTCTGCATTTCAGCTCTGCAGCACTTCCTTCGGTTACGTTCAAGTCTGCGGGAGGCTCCACAATAACAGGAGCATAACAGTGAAAGTAGTTCTGATCCAACTCGCCGATGTATCGTCCCTTGTGGTGTGTAGGTGAACTGCATCTTGCACAGCAGCTCGTGTTAGCTGGGACCATTTCTTTTAGCCACCAGCTTAGCCACAAAATATCACAATTACAATTCCATGGGTTGTGGTGCAAGTGAACTCTCTCCAGACGATGCAAAGGGGTAAACAGGTCGTGAGGCAACAGTGTAAGATTATTGTGGGCCAGATTTAATTCCACCAGTGACTGTAGGTCATCAAAAGAGTTACGCTCAATAGTCTGAATTTGGGCATGCATCATCCAAAGTTTCTGCAGGTGTATGAGCCCTTTAAATGAACCAGGCCGGACAATAGACAGCTGGTTCCCGGACATCTCCAGTTCATCCAACTTTACAAGAGGAATAAGGTTAGGAATTTCCTTTAGATTGCACATTCCTAGATTTAGGTACCTCAAATTGCTTAGCCCTTCGAAAGCTCCTTCAGATATGTAGGAGAGACGTTTGAGCTCTCCAAGGTCCAGGCGTCGTAGTGAGGGAACACGGTTGAAAGCATAGGAGGGAATGCTCTCAATGGGATTATTCCTCAGCCAAAGTTCTTTTAGCTTGGAAAGATATTCAAACGCCCCGTTTGGGATTGTGGTGAGGCGGTTATCAAAGAGTTCCAGGGTGTTGAGATTTGCCAGTCCATTGAATGCTCCCAGCTCAATTTTCCGTATGTGATTTTTGCTTAGCTGGAGAATCTCCAGATGTCTAAGGTGCTTGAAGCTGTCCACTTTTATGACCTGAATGAGATTTTCTTGCAGATTCAGGTAGCGTGTGTTGGTGGAAATGCCATCAGGGACTTCCCGCAAGCCTCGGCGAGTGCAGATGACTTTGCTGAACTGGTTGCTACAAGAGCAGACAGAGGGGCACGTCTGAGCGCGCACTAGCCCTGCCACCACCAGCAGCTGGAGAGCCAAGAGCAGCACGAACAAAGGGTCTGTCAAGGCCCGGTTCCACCTAGGACCTCGCATCGTCTGCTGCTGCTGAGAGGAGGTCATCTTGTTTAACATTCATAATTCATTGACTTGTCTCCCACTCTTTTGAAAGAGGATGTGGGCACTCTGCAAAAAAGCAAAGACACAAAACAAGACAAATTAGAGTCAACTTAGTTTTAGACTATATAATAATGTCAAACCATTTTCCCCCTATAATTCTGTTTTTGTTACATCAAAGCAACATTGCATACACAGTGTTGCCAACTCCTCAGTAAGGAAAGTAGCTATTGGCTGTCCCAAAAGTCGCTAGAAGTCGCTAAATGACGTCATCGCCTAATTTGCATAATTTGCCATTTGCAAATAACTGTAACGGACGCTGTAGGAGAGAGGAATAAGGTCGTGGGAGAGACAAAAGTGAGTAAAAACACCCTAAATATGTTTAGAACTACAAATGTACAAAAATAATTTCAACATTAACAACATTTAATGATTTTAATGCTTTGTCTAGATCCACATTACACACATCAGTTTTGTCCTGTATTGTTAAATGTTATAACAGCAAATGTAATCAAAAGATTGTTATGTAGGGTGAAATTGCTAGCTCTACAACCAACCCTCCTCCTTTATCCGGGCTTGGGACCGGCAAAGTGACCCAAAAGACACACTCTGGCAGAGTTACTTTGGTTTATTTTTGTAAGTTTTTTTTTTTTTTTCATAGTTTGGCATAACAAATGATTTAATGTGACCCACTACTGAGAGAAAACAGAGTCACGGACAGAGCTGCCGCGGATGGAGTGGGGGGTAGTGGGGGGTGGCGGTGGTAGGAGTGGCCGGGGAGCTTTGGATGTGTGGTGGTGGTGGAGCTGGAGTTCAGTCTGCAGCAGCCTGAAAACTCCCTGTGCTTTTGAGTCTCCTCTCTCTCTCTCTGCTCCGCCCATAGACTGTAGCTGGGACTGCTGCGCAAGGCTACTGTGAGACTGGCCGCCTGTAAGTGCTTTGGGACGGGGGAGGGGCTCACGTTGAGGACAGCAGAACAATACGTGCTTCACGAGTCTCCAAAACACCAGATAAGTCGCCAAAACACCAGAAAAAGTTGCTAGATTTGTCGCTAGTCGCTTTTTTGAAAAAAAGTTGCTATAGGGGTCTGAAAAGTCGCTAAATCTAGCGACAAAGTCGCTAAGTTGGCAACACTGTGCATACAGAGGTCCCTCACTATAACAGGGTTCACCTTTGCGGCCTCGCTGTTTTGTGGATCATTTGTGTGTAATTTTGCATACTTTTTTTCTATAGTGAGCCACATGTATACTCCAACAACATCATTATCTCAAGTCAGAGAAAAACCTTTTGTGGTATGTATCGTTGTTTTCAGACCCACAACAAATGTGTTTTAATATTTGAGCAGTCTTGAGTTAAGGTAATTGAAAAAGTGTATAAAGTGTTTGGTGCAGGGTTTGACAGCCTCAAAACATCGAGTTGCTACTTTGCAGATTTCACTAATTGCAGGTTTTTATTAGAACGTAGCACCAGCAATAAACAACGGACCTTTGTACTTCATTAGTGAAAAAAATATAATATGATCAGAAATCATTTGTAAATCGTTTGTAATTGTAAAGAGTACATATCTCACTATACTCAGAACTTGATCACTCCTCGAAACCCACTTGTTCAAAGATGGATGACAAACAATCTTAATTTGAGCACATTTTGACTGCCTTAAAGCAAGATTTGCCAAAGCAACACTCAAAATGATCAAGATACAAATATATACAAAAATTAACCCTTGGAATTAGAAAAAGCAACAATTCTTGAAATAAGACATGTCTTGTCCCACTGGCAAGCTTTAAGATAAAAAGACTCAATTTAAGAAATTATAACCTCGTATTTTATCTTGTTTTGACAAACCCCTGATGCATCATCCTATCGATACTTGTGAATTCTGCTCCCGTAAGGTTCGCTGATTTATTTGTCTTAGTTTGACCCATTATTTTTCACGTTCATGTTTTAAAATCACTACACTTTGAAATAAATAAATAAATAATACAGCCCATAATTTACAATTGAGTGAAGTTAGTCGTGTTGGTTTTTACATCTTTGGGCAAACACAATTTATTTCCAAACCCATCCAGTGTAGCCTAACAGCTGCTTTAGTTCCTCGTACTCTGTGTGCTCGCCACTAATAATCACAAGCTGGCACCCACGCATACAAACCACAACCTTGATGTAGTGCCGCACATCAATTCTTGTTTTCAGGCTGCACTGTCTTCCTTGCACTCCCATCTCAGTGGCATAAAACAAAATCACAATAAAACCGGCAACTTCTCTGCTATATCTCTGTAGGAGCAACAAGAATGGAAGGGAAAGGAAAGCTAGTTTGCCTGCTGCACTGTGTGATTTATATTAGAGACTAGGGGAGACATAAATAATAAGCCAGCTCGCCACCCACCACTCCTTCAATCGAATCGAGAAATCTGGAAATGCCTGATTACAACCCCACTCCCTCAAAGGCACGTGTGTGAGGAGAATGTAGAACAAGTCCAAATGGAAGTGGGGGATTTACTTTGGAACTTGTGTGGGGCCCCTGCAGGAAACTGTTGGAATACAAACAACGTCAACTTTCATTAAGATTTACGGCACACAGGAGAGATGATGTTATGACTCCTCTCAGCAATGATTGATAGGCCTTAAGTGAATAATTCTATCTGCGAAGTTTTCTTGTCTATGCAATAAAATATGTAGTGGTGAAACATAGGCAGGTGCCAGGCCATAAGTGACAGGTGAGAACATATTCCTCACTCAATCCCCTTTAATAGATGACATTTGCTGTTGCTGACAACTCACCAACATACTTTGGTATATCTGGAAAAGGTTGCACTTGATTATGCGGCAGAGAGAAAATTATCGGGTAGCAAGTATCTCATACAAAATACAAACATATACACAAAGAAGGAGCTCAGAAATATGCTGGACAAGATCATTAGGTTGTCCAGCTCTGTCCTGGGCTGTCTCCTGGATACAGTGCAGCAGGTGGGAGACAGGAGGGTCCTAGACAAGCTAAGATCCAGGCTAGACCATGATCCAGGCTGGATCCGCCCCCCTCTGGAGAGCAGCTACAGGGACAGACTGATCCACTCTCCCCGTGTGAGGGAGATGTTTCCTTCTGTACAATAAGCACTGCTAGCCATGTAAATTTAATTTATCCATAGATATAACGTGGAATACTGTAGTAGCATGAAGAATGTGAAATGTTTTGCCACAAGTATCCGTTGACATTATGAGCCTTTCTTATTATTTCTTGTCCTGAATGTGAACTTTGCAAATAGACCTTTATACATAGTAAATACAACAATATGTCTCAAATGACCTGGATGCAAAATAATAAAAAATAGGGAAAATGGCTAAGGTTAAAAGAGAAATTAACAAACAGGAAAACACAACATTTGGCTTGACTTGCCTCGCTTTTATCCATTACAGGGGAGAGCTTGAAAGGCAGCCATTTTGTCTGTGTAAAAGAGAGGGATAGGTGAATCCCAGCACTCACTCAGAGCCAGGAGAAACATTTATAGAATCTCTAATCTACCTGACCTGAATGTTTGTGGATGTGGGATGAAAAGTAGAACAGAGTGCACAAATCAATGTGAACATGAAAGAAAGTACAGTGGCCTTAACGTGGCCCCTGTTTCTACATTCAGAGACCACCAAAAAGACCTAGGAATAGAAATAGAAGAAAAAGATACTCAAGCGTTTTAAAAGTGACTCGAGGGAGCGTCTTTGATGAAGAAACCGCACAATTATGATCTACAATAGACTGCTTTTTAAAAATATGTTCTTTGTGCAAGTTGACTTCAAAGATCAACTAATATACTATGCTTATTTTGGTTCTAAAATTAGCTGGTGGAATATCTAACCTGCACTTCAATAGTTTCTGAATGATGAAAATACTGTTATAAAGCAATTAAAACTTCACAATAAAACATGTATATTTTGCATCAGAAAAATATCAATGCACATATGAGGAAACATGGCCGGAGAAATTTGAAAATAGTGTTATTATATTTGAATAGGAGGAAATTGAGATTGAAACCAACAAAATATGTAACATGTGTGCATTATTAAAGTGAGGGTTGATGCTTTAACATGTACGTGAAGATGAGCTAAAAATGGATGGAGCCGGAATGTCCTTGTGCCGGAAAGAAGAAAATAACAGTGATGCTAAGTACATCCTACAGACCTCAAAATGATGTTGTTGTGACGTTATGCACTCATGAACTCTCTCTGTAGAGCAAGTTTGGAGGTTAAAATACAATGTGCCTTTCCCTGCGTGTGTGTGGATGAAGTGACTTTTCCAAGGACACAGAGCCTATGTATATTTCTCTTCATTCTTCATTCATTTTCTGCAACATGATGTGTCCTTGTTGCAGAAATTCTATGTAATTTTGCTATTTTACTGTACTGTACTATTTACTTTACAAAATTCCAGATCATCTATAAATATTTCCATATTTATTGATACTACATCCACTTGAAGCATTTCATTCAGTGTATTTCTCAAATGTATACAAAAAATGTCATATTTTCTAATAAGATGATTGGCAGCTGTGTGGTCTGATATGTTATATCGAACCTGCCCTCTCAGCGCAGGTCTCCGCGATCACACTTCAAAACATTTAAAAACACATAGCTGCTTCTTTGCGGACTTGATTATTGTGGGTTATTTTTAGAATGTGACTCTTGTGTATTGTGTGAAATGCGCTATATAAATAAAGCACACTTGGGAAACACTTCTCCAGAGACCACTTACTTTTACTTCCTTTTAAATGTTTTGGTTAAGAAAATAAAAAAACGTTATGGAATCAAAAGGCACCCAGCGTTTACTGAATCGAAGGAGAGTAAAAAAGACATACTTCTGTATTGCAGGTGCTATATTCTACTTGAACTTGTTTTCTTGTAGCAGATGGAGACTGTTACACTGACTTTCAATTCTGCACTCACATTAATGTGCAACAAAAAAGCTGTAAGAATGTGCAAGCCATTACTGT